ATCTGGAAACTATCATGCTTTATTCCCAGAGAATTTTTCATTGAACTGACTTCATTCTAATATTGTGGTATCCGATCAACCTATTACAAAGGTGCAATTACCATTCTAACTTTCAACTCGTTAAAATAATAATTCTATCTTCATCTATTTAAACAAAATCTTAACGGAAGTTTGGTATGTTTTTTTTTTAACTTTTCACTTGTGGAATAGTTTCTCTGGATCCTTTTTATCTATCAAATAAAAAGGAGTAACGAAATTTTATATTTTTTCATCACCACACGAAGAATGAGGAAAATGGTATTTTTGGACTACAATAACGAAGGTGAAAACGAGCAAATTCCTTTAACAATCTCAAAGGGGAAAAAGCATATAATTGGAGTAATAAAATATAATAGAGGACCATAAATATTGGCAACTACATGTTCGGCTGAATGTTCACTGTTTACGGTTGTCGTGACGCGAGCAGGCCATATATTGTGTAGGAATCGTAATACATAATGTTGTACGTGTCCCTTTACGTTATTGGTAGTACGTGAATGAGTATAAATAAAAAAATATAGTCACGTATTTAAAATAGAAGATACATTCTGAATGTAAACAATAATACAAGACATTATTGTTTTAATAATGAAAAATGGAATTAGAAACAAGCTATGGTTTTTGTTTTTAAGCATTGTTTTCATGTTGTGATTATTTCTTGTAATTATTTGTATCTATAATAAGTTACTATTGTAATCTTTTGGAGGAAACAATAAAGAGTATCTATCTGTCTATGAGAAGTTAAAACCGTCGCTTAGAAACGTGAACAGCACGATCACAGAATACACCGTATGGATATACAATGGCATTCCTGAGGGTTAAAGTGATGCCTGCAATAATCTCACTGGCATGTCCTACCCCTGTCATATACCGACATTTTGAATTGAAACTTACCGCAACTTAATTAGTGCTGTCAGCAAAATTTCAGGGTTGCGTCATGAGTTCATGACATGTTTCAGAACCGAGATGAAGAACGGGTGCTCATCTTACTTTCAAAATTTCCATCCTCCAATAAAAACTAACAAAAAATTTAATTCCTTACATTGACTTAAAAAGCATTCATAATTATTTTTATTAGTATATCGTCATTACATTAATAAATATACTAAAATTAAACGTATTGTTAATTACCTTACTCTGTATTTGGAGTTGGTGCAATACTCATATATTCTCACACTTCTATCTATGTAGATACGTATTGGCAGACTTGATTGTGATATTTCAGTAAAATCATACAGCAAAAATAGATTTAAGTAGACGATGGATTTAGAATTAAAATTCTCTTCTTGTATTTTTTTTTCTTTTATATTATGAAATTTTTTTAATTAATTAAAAGCTAATAGAAATCGTGATTGAAGACTATATAGAGAACGATTATGGGGCCAATGTTCACCCACTAAACAAACAGATACGTACTTGAGTTTAAATTAATAAATAACTTCCTGGCGACACTAGTGTTCAATCAACCGCAAACATGGTGTGTGACTGATAAGGGTCACGGTAGGGCCAATCACCGCACCGTGATTCCTAATCGTTGAATCACTCGAAGTATTCCTGCAAAGGATTACTGAACCCGTAACCTGAGCAGTGAACTACACCGATTATGATGTAAAAATACAAACAAGAAAGACGATGAAATATTCCAAGTAATTATATAAAGACTGAAAATGAATGATTTTGTTTAAAAGAATCCTACTTAAATCGAGATAAAATATGTGACACGGATTCAGCCAAATAAATGCATAATCAAAATTAGCTTAAGATTGGCGAAGATATCTGGTAACTGGAAGATATCTGGTGGTATAAAAGGGCGAAACCGGTCACAATTAAAATAACAATAACAATTTGTGGAAAACTACAAGCGTTTTTGTACATAATTTTAATATTAATGAAACTCCTCCTTTTATTAAAACACTTAAATATTTGACCGTGAAACAATCTATTTGTAAGCCATGTATCTAACGTTAGTACGAGAAATAGGACACGTCAGACATATTGAATCAGATTTCACGTAATCTCTTAAACCTATACATCCTAAACAAGTGTTCACTTATGTCGAGGCAAACAAATTCAAATCCATAATAGGTTCCAAAAAATTTGTATTTGAGATATTTTCTGTTATTTATTATATACTTTATTGCATGGTTTATACAAGCTACTACATACTAATGTTTTGTTTAAGATTTTATCTAATAGAACCGCGCCTCGGAAACGTTAGAATTAAATGATCCCAGAATTATATAGTCATCTAAATATACTCATAAATCGTAAAAAGAACTAGTGTGTGCATTATATTTTTATCACTCAATTAGTATATAAATTACTATAACATTAATATAATATAGCGTATAAAACAACATATTCCTGAAGGATTTGCTTGTATGTAATGTTCACATGACATGCTTGACGATATTGTTAAACTCTAACATATGAATGTTTCGTTTAAACATTGCACTGAACATCAGACCATGATCCCATCCAAAAACACCGTGATCATGTAGAGCTAAATGTAGAGTGCCGTACACATCACTCGCTATGATGACCACGATGAAATGATGCTTGTTGAGAAACAGTATTAGATATAATTTTACTTTCGAGTTCAGATGAACCAATAAAAATACACAATGTAACTACTAATATAAGATCACACGAAATTGTTTTAGTAGCGTATACCTAATTCAATAAGGTACGACTACATTCAATAATAAAGATTCCTATAAAGCAACAGAATACAACAACCAAACGCCCCTTGTCCTATCTTGGCAAATCTCTTTTACTTGCATTCATTAATCTTCGGTTACCGGCTACAGTTACAAGCAATGATAATCCAAATTCTCGAGATATAAACACGTTTCCAACACTTGCAAACACATATTTCCCAGATAAGTCATTGAACTGTACACATTTACAAATAAATATATTTTTTATCCTTAATGGTTTCTTTCGATAGAGACGTGTTTAAATCTCTGTGGAGCAAATGGGCCTTTAAGGAAAATAGCTCCATCGATTGCGGAAAAGAAAGACGCCAACAAAACATTCCTACGCTGAATGGGTTAGGGCGAATAATCACTACAAAGAGGTTGGCAATATATAGAAAAACCACCAGGTAATTGTTGTTGTGGTAACGCGTCGATGATAAAAGGGTTTTCGTGTAAGGTGAACTGAGAATACATAAAAAAATATATTTTCCCGAAAATATAGCATTCGCCGTGTAGTCTCAGCACAGAACGGACAACCGATTTCTTTCACGTGAACTTAATGTTCGAGGAATAGGCAGCAGCGTCACTTTTAAAACATCACTAAAGCCTAACTGTGGTTGCCAACCTGCATGCCAAGCATGGTAACTACTTGCAAACCCCCGATTGGGGGAGGCCTATGTTCAGCAGTAGACTGACGACTGGGACTGGTACTAAAAGTAACAGCTGATATTATCATAGCATTCGTGAGCCTAAAAAGATAATACTTTATATCAAGCTCTGTCATCACACACACTCCGAAGAACGCAGAAATGTTTCGTAGACGCATTAGAATTTGAATTTATAACGCAAATGTACATGTAGATTTTGCTTCACAACAAGTAGTCTTTTTCTCCTTTTTTTTTCGTCTCGAAATTAATACAGGACCAACACTAAAATCAAATTCTAATGATTACGAAAATGATTATGAAAATCGATTCATAATTGGGGGCATAATTGCGTAACCAAACTACAAACTCAAGACGTATTGAGAATTCTATTTTTTTGGAAGCTTACAAATAGCCAACGATTGATGATTACAATATAACAATGTCGCGCACCAAAGAAAAGATATTTTTGGCATACAGATTTGACAAGGGCTGCGCTAAAACAATTGTATAAATATAGCTTTTTTTGTTCATATGAAAATTCCCTTAATTTATTTAAATGAGTTTTTTATTTTCATTCATTTATTTTAAATAAAACAAATTATTAATTTATTGTCATTAATTTACTCAAATAATTTATTTGTTCTGATTAGGTTAGCAAAATTAATTGTTTTCAAATGTTTATTTAAATTAATTGTGCATTTATTTTCATTCTATTGTTGATTCGATGTTATTGTTTTGATTGGTATCTGTAGTTGGCGGTGGGCGTGGACACACATATGCAATGTATTCTAAAAGTAATCGTATCGCCCACGTCGATAGTCAGCGACACGTTCCGAGATTCCTGAGCGATATTATACGACTTATATCGAAATTCAGAACTGCGTGGGTTCTATATCCCTCATTTACAATACGAAACATATGTTACGTCAAGAAGAGATTACTCCATCATATTGATAACACTTGTATGTTTATTATATGATAAAATTATGCCTTAGGTTTGTGTACTATAAATTAAATGATGGTTTTGTATTATAACTCGGTCAAATATCACATTTTCTACTTCTACTAAAAGATAAGCCAAACATGTGGCCAATGGCAGTTAACGGTACTAAAGATTACACTCGTTCGAATCGAATGTGCTTGACGCCAAGGGTCAGCATTGCGATCGAGTGAGGTAATCAGAAAGTTCGTAGCTGTAGTTGTAGTAGTATACTACTAGCATTATGTAAATTTAACAACCTGGATGTCTAACCACTACTACTTGAAAGGGATTGTTAGTAATAGGTTTAAATAGTCCCATTGCTAACAATATACTCTGTAACGTAGACCTTCACGTGGTTCTTCTGAAAACCACTGTGATGAATTCTTGATGAATTCGTTACGATGGGCCAACAAACCTGTTTTCATCATCGCTTATTCAATAATAAAAAAAAATGAATTTATAGTTTTTGGATTATTTATTCGATGCAAGCACTTTTAAATTGTCTGTGATGAAGTGATATGATATTAGTGGCTTCAATGTTGTTATCTTATCGCTATTTTTATGTAAATAAAAATAAAATGTACAAAAAAGGAAAAGTCTTGGGTTTCTTATTAAAAATAAATAGTTACTTACATAATCTACCAAAGCTAAGGGACAGGCGCTTCCGAAGCTTTTGCATTTTGCTCATAGCGCCGCCCCTTTTTTCCCTCATTGTCACGCCTGTGAACAAAAAGAAAATATATTTATAAATTGTGAACATTCATGCAATTAATTACAAATTGTTCTAAATGTCCGTTCTATCATCATTTCATCCATACACTGTCTATTGCTAAATTTCCACGCCAAATTATTATGTAATATATAAACTTGTTAAATATGTTGTAATTTTTTTGTGTACAATAAAGAATAAATAATATCTCTATAGGTAAAATGTTCAACTGGTGTACGTTGTATACAGTTCATCTGCAAAATGACAAAAATTGACAATACATTTTCAAAAAATTTACTACATTAAAATTTTAATGTTTAAAAATGTTTTAATAAGTGCTATAACTTGCCATACAGTTGTTGTAATAATAAACTATATATTATATATCATAATAGTAGTTAATAAATACAAATAATCAACATGGAAATATTTACAAGAGGAACATTAAATAGAATACTCAGAACTCGTATAGAAACATTTATAAGCAAATAAGCCCATTCCTATAATATTATATTATATTACTAGCTGTTCCCCGCGACTTCGCTCTCGTTCCCGTCGTTTTTCGTAAAAAAGTAGCCTATGTCCTTCCTCACGGTTCAGTGGTTTTGATGTAACAGATTCCCTTTACTGCTCTGCTCCTATTGATCGTAGCGTGATGAAAAGTATACTATAACCTGCCCAGGAATACGAAGAATAATTGTACCAAGTTTCGTTAAAATCCGTCAATTAGTTTTTGTTTCTATAACGAACATACAGACAGAAAGACAGACAAAAATTTTACTGATTGCATTTTTGGCATCAGTATCGATCACTAATCCCTTGATAGTTATTTTGGAAATATATTTCATGTACAGAATTGACCTGTTTACAGATTTATTACAAGTATAGATAAATAATTGTATTTTAACTCCAAACAATAAAATATTAAAACGCAAATACGTAATTTTGTTCATAAATATTTTATTTATAAAAGATAAGATTTCTTTTTTTAAATTTAGATTAAAAGAAAGACAGCAAATTCATTTTCGCTATTTACTATTTTATTGTATGCTTACAAATCAAATTAAGCGTAATAACAGTAATATTTTCATTAGCGCAAGAGCTAGTTATAAATAATAACGTTTCACGTCGGAGGCTCCACGGGAAGTAACAAGTGTTACACTACGCTTAATAATGAATTATACTAGTTATAAGTTGCAGTCACGCTAGCACCTCTCCTAACCGAAACCTAAATAAGAAATAGCATCAAGTTAAGGGTAAGAAAGACATTTCAGTACGTTACTGTCTTTTATTGCTACTTAAAAAATACGCCAGTCGATAAATAACGAAATACTGTGTATTTCGTATATTAAAAAAACTAAGTTTACATACCAATTAATAATAGATTTATCACTATTTTCAAAAGTAGGTACTAAAATTTAATTCTGTTATCTAAACATATATATTGGGAGGTTTTGCCCGTAGTTGCCACGCTTGGCAGGCGGGTTGACAACCGCCTTGGGTCTTGGAGATGTTTTAAGAGGCACGCTGCTGCCCATCACTCGCCCATTAAGTCCTCTTAGTCGACATCTTTTTACGACAGCCACGGGAAAGGAAGGCGTGGCCTATTCTATGCCGGAAGCACACGGCGAAATCTAAACATATATTGTAATAAAATTAAACAGACATGCTGTTTACACAAATTACTAAATGAGTTTTGATAAAATTTTGTACAGGGGCACGATGTTTTACTGCAGTGGGAAACTAATAATTAATTATGTGCGAACGTCGTCACCTGAGTAACTAATTGTAGTAAAAGTTTTAATGAATATAAAAAATACACATCACAATATCATATACAACAGAATCATATCAATTATCGTCTCTATTTTCATTGTACCTCTGTCTTATTCATGTTTCAAACGTAAAACAGTTGTGTTTGCATGGCTATGTTTCGGTTTGAAGGGTGGGATATGGCATGAATATACTGGGTACGGAGCAATGACACCTGAGCCCTCAGGAATGGCAACGCATGGGGGGACCATGGTACTGTGCTCATGTCTATAGGCGACGGTTACCACTTTCTATCAAGTGGGCTGTCAGCTTGTTTGCCATTCGAAGTTGCATAAAAAAAATTTATTCATCTTTGATTCTATCTTCCATATTTCGAGCTGACCCGTCGCCCGTATCTCTAAAAGCAAAGACGATTCGCTCTGTCATTTACACGACTCAGAACTACCAAAAAATCATATCAATTTAACCTTTTTTTAACAATCAGCAAAAAAAAAAAAATTACCGCATTCGTTCATTAAATTTTAATTTACCAAACTACTGTTAAATTATATAAATACTTGTATTTACCGTAACCAGGGGCGTTATAATTACTGTATTTGCAGTTGAACGTTATATAAATTCATTTCGCCGTTCGTATAAATGCATTTTAATTAAAAAAAAAAGTATAATTTAATAAGCTTAAGTTTTGTGTTCCCATTAACGTCAATATACCCCTTAATAACCGATCGCGTGTCCGCAAATATTCCGCTCTTCCAATTAACTTAAGTAGTCGTTATTTTGAAAAATGTGGAATAACGGAACGACATGAGCAGTATTTAATAATAATAAGTGTTACCATATTGTAACACCGATCATTGATACAATTTTAGCAAGGAGAGATAAAATTTTCAATCGCCTAATAATTTTTATATTTTTTTACATACACACTTTATAATAAAATTATATCTTTGTAATAACCGTTGATACGTGAATTTTTACGATAAGTCTAGATGGAGAGAATCGTGAATTTACAGAGTGTTTGCGGAACTTATGAGACATGCGAGATGAGTTTACAAAGTAACATATGGTCGGAAACAAAGAGCAAGCTACGAAAATATCTTCACTTCTGTATGCAAAATGCATAGCTCTACTAACGCACCTGTGACTACTCAGAATATCAATGTAATAGTTTTCAATTTTTTTTGCTATTTATTTTCCTGGAGAACTGAATGCAAAAGGCCTTTACACATACATCTCTCGCTTTATTCACTTTAAAGAACTGTCTTATTCATACATACTGGTCCAGATATATCGAGTTATCTATCAAACAGAAAAGTATGTATTACTACATATAATTAGTACATCTCAATAATAATAATCATTACAACGCTTGATGTTACTGGTGAGTAAATTTTATTCCTAATTCTTTTATTAAATATGTCCTACCGGTATATATGCCTACGTATATACATTTCATCGTGATCTAGGTGAAGCTGTTAAAGCACTATTTGGTAACAAACAAACAAACTCAATTGCACATTAAAATATTAGTAAGGATAGCGAAATATGAAAACCACAATCTTTGTAGATGTTTACTTTATGAGATGATATCAGCTGACATTGGAATATAGCAGACTAAACGAAATACACCTACACTGTTTATCCCACGCCACGCCTATACCTACTTACTAAATACAAATATTTCGTAAGGAAAATATGACCCTGGAAATGACAAATGGTAACTTGACCTATCCGTTAATGTAAGTATATTAATATACTAGACGGGGGGGAAGGAATTGTTAATAATGGGGAGTTTAGTCCCCATTGCTATCAATATACCCTATCAGGTCGACCTCCACGCGGTTTTCTCTGGAAACTATCGTGATCGATTTATCATTGAATTTGTCACAATGGGTTAACTGATCTGCCTTTTCATCCTCACCTATCACCGCTAGTGTATACCGTCAGCGCAGGCGGGATTAACCATGCCATTTTCACGCATAAAAAAAAATTATATACTAGACGACTCTAATAAAAACTAATGTTCTTTATTGACCCCGCTCTATCTGTATGTCAAATTTAATTCCAATCGATTATATACTATTTATAACTATTAAGAATTAAAAAAAAAACTGACTTCAATTCAAACTAGACAAAAATAGTATGGAAATTATTCTGTATTGCAAATAATGAACAGGATTAGGTATTCTGTTTTATTAGTCAGGAATACATAGAATAACATAAAATTATCTATTCAGACGTATAATATATTTTATTCACCACACGGCTCACCTTATCTACGATAATGTTGAGATAAGACACTTCTCGCGTAATTAAGTTGTTCCGTATAAAAAACTGATAAAACATGAAAATATTTTAATTATTTTAATTTCGTAATATCTATCTCTTATCAGTTTTAGTTTTATTTTAGATATATTTACTTCTTTTTTTCGATAATGAAAAATAATATTGATTATGTATTTTACTATCTAATCTAATCTAAACATGACAGAAGTCGATTCGTTGAATTAAATAATATACGATGTGGACTAAAACTTACTTTCATGTTTACAAAATCAGTTCACGATAGTCAATTTTTTTTTTTTTGATAGGTGAAAATGCTATGGTAACCCCGCCTGCGCTAACGGGATACGCTGGCGGAATACCAGTGAATGGTGATAGATAAAAATAAAAATGAAAACAGGCCAGTTAGCCCATCATGATGAATTCATCAGGAATTAACCATGATAGTTTCCAGGGGGAACCGCGAGGAGGTCGACCTGGTAGGGTATATTGCTAGCAATGGGATTCTCAGTTTCCATTACTAACAATCCCAGTTCCCCCTCACGATTGGTAATTTCTTTATAGTCGGCAAAGCGCACGATACACCCCTAGTTTTGTAAGCGTCTGTAGACTACTGTAACCACTTATTATCAGTCGGGTTATATATTTGTTTGTCACCTTTGCGGTATAATAAAAATCTTGACATTTGTGAATATATACTACACTAACAAAATGAATTACAGTTTTATGAATACTGTCTAAATGCTTACGACCAATTTTATTCCATTTGTAGATTAAAAATTTTATGATGCCGTAAGATTTTCCAATTTATCGAGTGACGGCGGTCACTAGTGATAGAAACGATTGGGCTCCGTGAATTAATTAAAGAAACATCTATAACAGTTGAATAATCGTTACATTTATAGTACTTACCGATAATTGATATCGCAGATATTCATCGTACAAATTGTTTTTT